GCGCGGCGCACCCTTCTCCTCCGGGGGCTCTTCCTCCCCCACGCTGGCCGTGCGGGGCCGGGGAGGGGGGGGGGGGTGAGACACAGACACCCGAGGAGAATGACTGTGCCCCGGGGCTAACGCTGCGAGTTCCGGGCCGGATTGCAAGGCAGTTTCGAAATCGAACACGTTGCGGCGCACACTTGTCATGCTCACATGCTCTTTAAAGCTCCGGGCCGCCCGTCCCGCCGCCTCCCGGCCGGACTCTCCCACGCTCGGACCCGGGCAGCTGCCGCCTGTGTGAAACGGCGGGGACCGCACCGGGGCTGCTCGGTAAAGTCTGTTTCGGTCAAGTCTGCTTTTATGACTTCAGCCCTGCTAGGGGACCCCTTCTCTCATCGGATATTTCAAACTGGTCATGGAGGAAAAAAAACACATGCTCCTGTAGGTTTGTTTTGGTTGAGGAAGACTCCAGCAGGAGTCCTTGACGAAAGTACCCTTTTCAAAGACCAGGTCCTGTTTGGCTGATTCCCAGAAACGCATACCCCCTCCCCGCCCTCTCCTCCGAGCCGAGTTTCCCCGTGTGTGTCCCGTGGCTTTGAAGTAAACGAACTGTCACAGGCCACAGTGCGACTTTCGCCGTCACTTAAAAGAGAAAAAACCCCCAACGTAAATAACCCGGGCAGAGACGTCAGCGCCGCGCCGGCCTCCAGTTTCGGCTCTGTGCTCTTTTTGTTTTGTAACCTCAATGGAGAACCCGGCAGGACTCGCTCCGTGGAAATAAGGTTAAACCCGAGGAAGAAGGCAGCCAAACGATGACTAACTAGACTTTGGAGCCTCTGTTTTCGGATTAAATTAAAGCCAGCCTCCCACCCACTCACCCTCCCAAAAAAAAGACACCCCCGCCAGCAGAGTGAATTGAGGCCAGAGTTTACAAAGCTTGGGTGGTTTTTCCAATTACAGGACTTAAAATGAATAAACAAGGGGAAAAGCGTCACTCTAGGCAGGCAGCGACCTCACGATTTTTTTTTTTTTTCCCTTCGGTGCTTTGCCGACTGATCAGCACCGAAGAGAACCTACACTTCTGAAAGGACAAAGCGAATAAACTTGGTCCCGGGGCAAAGCAGCGCCCTGAACGGTCCCCTGCCACTTGCTGGGGCGCGGCTCCGCCCCGGGACCCGGCTGGAGACGAAGCAGCTGCGGCGCCCGCGAGCGGGACAGATGTGGGCCCGCGAGCGGGACAGATGTGGGCCGGCCCGTTGGGGGGGCCGCGGCGAGCTGGCGTTTGAAGCCTTGTTTTGTGGCAGGGGATTGGTGGCTCACATCCGCTGGGGCGGGAGGGGCGGGAGGGGCGGGAGGAGACGCTGGATGAGCGGCCGGCGCCGGCACACGCCGCGGCCTGAGTGGCAGGAGCCTCGGCTGGGGGCCGGCGGTTACTGGGGAGACGCTTTGTTTGCCAACTTCGACCGCGGCCTCGGCCACTCGACAAAACACGCCTCCTGGCCGCTGGCAGCAGCTCGCGACAAAAAAGGTTTCCTTCTTCCGCGTGGTTATCCTTGGCCACGCGATGGCCCTCATTCTGTACACAAAGGCACCTTCTCGTCTAAATGAACTTGGCTAATGACGGCGATGCTCTGGCAACTGAGTTGGAAACCGGGAGAGGAAGCGAGTTGATGGCTAGAAGACAAACTTTCGGGGCAGGGGGAGGGGCGCGCATGATTTCTTTCAAATAGCGAAGAGGAAATAGTGGAACTTGAAACGCTCTCGCTGGAGGTCCGGCGTGATCCGGCCAATGCTCGCCTTTTGCTGGGTCGCATAATATCAAAGCGATTATTAAAGCCGGTGAGACGGTCCGAGAGGAACCCGGGCACCTGTCGGGGTGAGCGCTCCCCTGGTGGAGGTCCCCACCCCCAAGGCTCGTTCCCAAACTTGTTTGGGGCTTTGAAACGTTGGTTCGTTCTGAGACGTGCCTGGAGTCTGCATAACACAGGCAAGAAAAATCAGCAATTGCTTAGGATATTTTTTGTAAACGGTATTTGCTTTTCCCAAGGAGGAAAAGCAAGTTTTAGTTCTGGCTCTGTCAATTCTAGTGCCCACCTAGCGCCTCTCTGTAAAACTGATCCAATGACAGGATTTTCTACAGTGCTAATTTTTTTTTTAATTAATAAAAGTATATGGATTTACATGTGCTACATATTATTTGCTGACCATATGAATGTTAATTAAGTTGGAAAACTGGTGCTCAAGAAGGCTGCTGATAAACGTTTTTCACTATTATTTTTTTCCCTCCAGGCACACCTCGTTCCAATGGGTGTCTTATCTTCTCAAGCTGTCTCAAGGCCAAGAAAAGAAACAAAGTTGTTAAAGTTATTTTTCACAGCCTGCAAACCCTTCAAAGGCACAAAAGCCAGAAAAATGTATCAATACATCCAGTTATTTTGATGCCAGGTCCAGGAAGTAATTGCAGAATGTATTTCATTAATCTACTCAACAACCATTGATCAAGCAAGAATTCCATCGGGCCCTGTCCTAGGTGGAGGGATGATGACTCACTCAGTCTTGTATCCATCCCTTTTGTTTCTAATCTCTGGGGGACAGATATTTTTTTATAGTCATCTCTTCACATCTCAGGTGTGGGATCTGGGACTACCTAAAGAAAGCTGACCATCGTCTTTTCAAGGGCCTGGTGCGGGGCTACCACCCTCTTATGATTTGCCTGGTGCGGGGCTACAACCCTCTTATGATTTTTATCGACCCCATCAGGATTATCTCCATCTCTTAATTACTTTTCTCCTAGCCTGCACTTCTCTTCCCATCCTGTTTCCTCTGCAGCCCAGTCCTCCTCTTCCTTTGCCTGGAGGCTTGGACTCAAGGGGACAGAGTAAAGAGATAATCTGAGTACAGCCTTTGCCCTCTTTTGGCCTCATCATACATCTGTAGTGTGCTTTACAGTTTATGAAACACTTAGGTGGCCTTACTTAATAGTACAGTGAAGTATGTTATTATTTTTCTCTAAAGTCAATATAGCTTAACACCCAAATATAACAAAGCTAAAAGGTATAAAACCAAGGACGGGGCATAAATTGCCCGGCTTTAAGTCAGGTGTTCTCTGTCACTCTTTCTTGGAAGATCCAATAGATGTGGAAGGCAGTATATAAAACATTTTAAGCACAGATGATGATATCAGGGCCTACTGATCATGTGTGGCGATTGCTTCAAAATCTCTTCTTTGAAACCCACCAGTAGTTTTACAAAAGGCTCTCTTCCAACCTACTAGCTTTTTGTGCTTTGTGTTCTTTTCTCATTTTTTAATTAAAAAGAAAAAGTGCTAAAAAAAATTCAAGCAAGAAACAAGTACACAAAGTTAAAAGTGAAAGACCGTAATTCCTCCCCACTCTCCAAATGTGCATATGTATACTACACACAAATGTAAGGGATGTCTTCTTACTTGCTCTTTTCAAGTTGACTGGGCCTGGGATGGTCCCAGGAGTCTGTGATATCCTGACCTAAATGTAGGTATCCTCAATGCTAGGGTCTCAACCACAGTCCTATTAACAATTGGAGCTGGATAATCTTGGTTGTGTATTGTAGAATGTTTAGCAGCATCCTGGCCCTAACCAATACTTGTCAGTAACACCCATCCCCCAAGTTGTGACAAACAAAAAAACAGCCCAGGCATTGCCAGAGGTCCTCCAGAGGGGATGGAAATGGGCTGGGGTGGGGTTGGTGTGGGTGGGGTGAGGATCATCTCTGCTTGAGAACCACAGATCTAGCTCAACCCTTTCTTTATTTCTTCCGTAACACCACACTTTAAGTCACAGTATTTTGCTATTTGACTATTAACTTGTTTATTTTCCTGTGACTCCCACTAAAAAGACTTTCAGATATCATACCAGATGTTAACTTATTCCCTTTCTCCTACTTCCATGAATGTAGTTAATCCATTCACATGTGTCCATTTATCTTCCCAAAGCTATAAAGGACCCATTTATAATGGCAACAAAACGACGAAATATCCAGGAATGAAATTAACAAGAAATAGGTGCAAGTTTTATGAGGAAAACTTTAAAATTCTACGGAGAGACATGAAGGAAGACTTAAGTAAAATAAAAACTATAACATTGTTTTTAGCAAGATTTAGTAGTGAAAGGAGAAGGATGTTTATTTTCCCCCAATCAATCTTTAAATTCAAAGCAATTTCCATTAAAATACCAACAGGATTATTTTTTTGTAATGGCCACAGTTCATAAAAATTAAAGATCTCACAATAGCTGGGGAAATTCTAAAAGAGAAGTACAGTGGGGGAGGATAGGGAAAGCCCCTCCAAACATTAAAGTGTGTTTTGAAGTTGATAATAATTACAATGTAAAAGTTTTGTACTGAGAATAAAAAGGAAACAACAATGAGACATTAGAATAAAGAGAGAGATGGAGATTTTGGCAAAGGTGGCTTTTCAGATCAGGGATAAATGAATTGGATAATTGACTGCTTTTAGTTGAAAATGAAGCTGTATCTCTGTCTCCTTTAACAAAAATAAAATTCATTGAGTTAAAGATTGAAATATTAAAGTGACTTAAAATACACTAAATATGTTCTAGAACAGTGATTCTCCAGAGGGTGTGTATGTGGCGAGTTGGCCTCCCAGGGACATTTGACATTGTTTGGAGACATTTGGTCATCACTAGAGAGGAGGGGAAGCCACTGGCCTCTGGAGGATAGAGGCCAGGGATGCTGCTGAACACGCTACTACACACAGCACAGACGTCCACAAGAAATTATCCTGTCCAAAAAGTCAGTAGCGTGGGGGCATGAATATGATCTTGGAATGGAGAAGACCTTTCCAATCAGGACACAAAATTGAGAAAGAATAAAATATGTAAATGTTTATAAGCACTTTGTTTTTGTTTTGTTGTGGTTTTTTTTTTTAACTGTGTTTGAGGGAAAATCCCATAAAATTTTCAAAAGCGAAGTACTTGCAGCACCTGGCAGGCATCACCAGACCAATGTACCTAATATATGAAGAGCTCATAAAAACCATCGGAAAGAATTCTGTTTTTAAAAAGTTGGGCAAAGGAATCCAAATAAAAACGGTTTTTTAAAAATCATAAAAATTGTAATTACAATTAAGTAAATTGGATGGAGCTGGTATGGGAAGGTTAATAATATACTATGTTGATTAGGGCTATATTTTTAAGCAAGGTACAGAAAACTATAGTATTATCCATTTTGTGTAAAAATTTTTATGCCTATATTTTTTAAAATGATACTCAAGGAAATATTAGCAATGGCTACCTTTGGAGGAAGAGAATGGGGAAGGGAATGGGATACTGTACATGGTAAGCAGGCTATTTTTTTCATCTTCTACTTTTTTTTGTACAAGAACTGAGAGAGAGAGAGGGTGTGTGCCACTTGAAGTGAAGTTAGTGAAGGTAAGTGTCCAGTCATTGACTGGTACAGGGGGCCTATACCGTCATTTTATTTTACCTTCACTTATTTCTTCTGTGCTCTTCCTTTAAGTAGATCTGAGTTTCTGGCCTACCTCATTTTCTCCTCTCTAAGGAAATTCTTTTAACATTTCTTGCAAGGCAGGAAATTTTTAATTACTAAATATAGTGGATTGTAACTATAGATGTAATTTATGTACCAATCCCCAATTATTGTACATTTTAACTTTGGTCTGGTTTGAGTTAGAGAGGATTTTTGCAAATACTCTATGACCCCTCTCCATAGCAGGGATCTAAAATAGGACGAAGTTGTATATGGGGCCTTTAAAACTGGCTCTGCAGTTCAAGAGTCTTGGGTAGTTAATCATTAGCAAGTGTGAATAAGCCCCAATGACACTCTGGGAGCTCATTATTCATTGCCTTTTACAAAAAATAATAACAAAGGCCATCAAACCATTTACATTGTTGAATTGGATGACCAAATCTGCAAAATTGGAAAGGTTAATTTTGATGCAGGTAATTTTTGCAGACAATTTGGTCAAGCATTACAATAGTTAAAAAGAAAGCAAGATGCTTTTCCCAGAATTGAATTAAATGCTATCAACGCATGGGTGGAGGCAGCATATCCCCTGAAAGGCAAGGAACATTTAAGTAAAGGCTTTCTCTTCCCCTGGCATATTTTTAAAAGAGAACAATCTGTTATCTCACAGTGTTTTCATCAGGCTTCCACAGGATGTCATGCAAAAGCCAAAACAATTCTTCCATATTACCTTAAAAGGATGGAAAACATTCACTTCCAAGTTACTTGGATATACTTTATTTTCAAAACTTAGATACATTTTATTTTCTCTTTCCCACCCATTTTGGAAGCTCGCCTCAGCAACACATTTACGGACTAGATCAGCGGGGCTCTTCCTCAGGGTGAAACATGACTAAATCAGTCCAGACTTTTCTCTCCCCTTTCGTTTGTGCTGGCAACAACTCACATACATGTCTACTAGTTCAGAATCAATTTTAGTTTTTTTTAAGTATATTTTTATTGATTTCAAAGAGGAAGGGAGAGGGAGAGATAGAAACATCAATGATGAAAGAGAATCATTGATTGGCTGCCTCCTGCACGCCCCCGCCCCCACCCCTTGGGGATCAAGCCCACAACCCAGGCATGTGCCCTTGACCAGAACCGAACCTGGGACTCTATGGCCTATAGGCAGACAAGACCCTCTCCCCTTCCTTCCTTCCTTCCTTCCTTCCTTCCTTCCTTCCTTCCTTCCTTCCTTCCTTCCTTCCTTCCTTCCTTTCTCTCTCTCTCTCTCTCTCTCTCTCTCTCTCTCTCTCTCTCTCTCTCTCTCTTTCCTTTTGGATATATTATCCCTCAATGGAAATCACAAATCTGTTATTTGTCCTTAATATTTTGTCCTTCACAAGAATCCCATTTAGTTTAAAAAAAAACTAAACAAAATAACCCTTTGAAAAATGGGGCCTAGATTTCTTGAATTAGGTTCACTTTGCTTTCATCTGATAAAATATGCTCATCCTACCAGCTTCTTTAGGGAAAAGAATACAGCAAAAGCCTACACAAACTTCTACTTGATTAGTCACTTGTCACTTCTTATTGTTCTGACCAAAAAGTACATTTTCCAAAAGGACTAATGATTCTGTAACCACAGTGCTTTCCCTGTGTCATTATTTCATTGAACCTGGAAGAATTCTTGAGACATCCTCAATCTGAAATACAAGTCCTTCCATGTAGCTTTGAAATCCAGTTCACAAAATAACCTCCCGGCTTTTCATTCTAACAGTGTTGTTTAGAAAAAGATTACTCTCTAATATAACTTAAACACACACTTGCTTTTCCTAGTTCTCTCCCACACACCCCCAAATACATCTTTTATTATTTTGTAAATTGTAATCAAACCATGTCTGTATTTTAAAAAATGCAAAATAGACCTGGCCAGGTGGCTCAGGTGGTTGGAGCATCATCTCATACAGCAAAAGGTTGTGGGTTCGATTCCCGGTC